TCCGTGACTCATGTACCAAATATTTAAAAATAATGAATGTAAATATCGTACCTTGATTCCTTTTGTTTATTTTATAATCTCAGCCAGCATATTTTCGCAAATATTTTTACTGCCTTTGTATTAGTCATTCCTAACGAGAAACTTTGATTTTACTTCTGTCTTTTCTCTCTCCAAATTGCGATCCGAATGCTATTGCATCAGCAAATGATCATGACGCTGATAGAGAAGCGACAACAGATAATAAGGTTTCAGTGGTAGATGGAGTCAACGACCTCTGCAGCGAAAGCGACAACAAAGGATGGTCCTCGGCCCAAGAGAACAGGACAAGGCGACAACAAAGACGATGAACTCTCCCAAAGGATCTGGCACGGCCCTCCGGGGAGCAATAAGATAGCAGACAGGTCCCTCCGAGGCATCAAACTTCTGTCTTGTGGGACGATGACGATCAATTCTGCCAAGAGAAAATTTGACGCTCACGAACTCTTTTACCACTTGAAGACACAATATTTCTTTTTTATACTTATAATTAAATTTACTTTAAATATTTTATATTTATACCGTTTTGCAAACATTGATGAAAGGAAATTTACATTGTATTTCGACCAGAAATGTTTGGAGTTCATTTGTAATTACTAATAATACGCTTGTAAGCAATTTATAAACAGTAGACTAGGACGCGTAACTCAAACAGTTTCATTTTACTTTTGAACGTACTTTATGAAGATTATTATATGAGAGAGCATTCGGCCCGGAACTGATACAAAAATGTATAGAACTTATTAATAAAACGGAAACTTGAAGTAAAAAAGCACATTAAATATTTCATCGCTAAATAATTTGGCAAGTTTAAAGCTCGTCTTTTTATTATAAAATTCAAATGTGCACGAAGTTTGGAAAAACGAAGAACATTATTCAAAAGGTGACATTATCACACAGTTTGTTTTACACGAGGAAAGCAATGTTATGGCATTATCTTCGAACATTATTCTTAAATATTGGGAAACATTCGAATTATTTCCAAACATTCCTGAAATCTTCGAAAATAATCTATTATGCATTATCCTTTGCCACATATTTAGATGCTGGCAAAGAAGTATATCGCAAATAAAATGTGAAAGTGATTACCTCTTTGTTTATTTGGTGAAATATTACACATTACGGTCAAAATATCGTGTTTCCTGCATTTGAAAGATTTAATTTGATTTTCGAAAAATAATTTGATCCTATCACTGAAATATGTTTTTAAATTATACACTAATTAAAGAGAAGTAAATGCAGCACGTATTGTGATATTTCCAGAACGTGAAATCCACTAAAGCAGCAAATTCGGTATTACAACATAACCAGCATGCCGATAAAGGAGACAATCACGTCCACCAATCACATTGTAGTATATTATCCGGGAGTTACGCCGACTAAATGAATAACTTGTTCCCCTGGAAGCGTAGCGTGGGCAGGCGGCGCACGCGAGCGACCCCGGGCGCACGCTCCACTCGCGCCAGTGAAACGGATCGGTAAACACGCGGCCGGCGCGGGGCGGGACGCGGCCGCCGCAGTTGCACAAGCGGAGGAGGCGTGGGCGGCGGCAGGGAGCCAACGCAGTAGGAAGGGGACTGGGCAGAAATGGAGGCGGCATCAGAAATGAGGGCTGGGCGGAAATGGGAGTAGTGGGGGGGGGGGAAGCAGGTGACGAAGATGAGGGCGGAAATGGACGTGTTTGGACTTGGCCTGGAGAGAGCTTTGGCTTCCGCCGCCGGAGTCAGTACCTGCTTGGCTGTCCGGGAGACGCCACGTCCAAGGCACAGGTGACAACGTTTCGGCCGTCATTCTGCCACTTTCCTCAGGACATTTTGCTCTGATGAAGGTCGCAGAATGGCGGCCGAAAAGTTTGCACTTGCGCCTAAAACGCAGCGTCTCCCACACTGCCAAGCAACTGTTGGCATGGAGAGCAGCCGGCAGGAAGGCAGGGTGCGCTAAGGGGGCACAGGCAGGCTGCAAGGTCGGGGGGCTGGGAAGTTACTTGGAAGCAGTGGTTGATTGATTGTTTTAGTGATTCCAGGCACGTCAACTACAAGGGTCATTATTCCCATAAGTGTAGTGCTTGTATTTGCTCGGGATGTGAGTTTTCCCTCGATGTTTAGTGAGATCCGGTGCCGACCTACCGTTGGCTAGCAGGGTTTCCCCAACAAGGTATCTCCCATCAGAGGGGCACCACCCAAGCCGGGACATGCTCTAAGCTCCCGACCGGTCTCTCGGCATGTGCGCTTGTGTAGCGCGCGTTAATGTGTGTGTGGAAGGGAAGAGCATAGGACAAGGAAGAGGTAGGAGAAATTGCGCGCGGATCCTGGCCCGTTTGGTAGGGTACTGCTCCAACATTCGTCAAACGTTGATCGGAGAAACCACGTAAAACTACCGATCAGAGCAACCAGCCGCTAGATTTTCCTCCAGACAGCGACTGAATTTCTGCCACCGTCGGGAGTCGAACCTATGACCTTCCAGTCAGAGGGACTGCAGTGACATCAGATGATGCTCCGAGCCATCTCTCTCGGTCGGTGGTTGGTTGGAGGAGTTGGGAGATGAAAGTGGTGCGAGTGGAGCGGTAGGGGCAGTGGTGATGGCAAAGGAAAGGGAGACCAATGCATTTCCAGAGCCGGAAGAGTGGGAACAGGAACAGTGTCGGTGCAAACGGGGCCGGTGACAATAATGCAGGTGACAGCGAAAGTAATGGTAATGGTAATGGCTGAAGACCAGAGTTGGGTAAACTTGTTGATGCGGCGTCAGATGCAACAGGAGAACTAACCAGGGATGGTTGCAATGGAATGATGGTCAAGTAAGTGAACAATGCCGTGAGGATGATGTACAATCTGATAATGATAACACCATTAGTGTGTGCAACGATACTACAGGCAAGACAGCCTTGATGAGAAATCTTTGTTCTAAATTCAGCGAGTAGGTGTGGTTAAAAAATGGCGGTAGAGAGGTAATGGGAAACGAATGTCATTGACAGACGAAAAGATCGTGACATCATACTCGTGAAGCAAGGTAGAAAACAAGCCCATATGAGAAAATGTAAGAGGTGGTTCGACAAAGAAGTAGTCGCGGAGATTAAATTCAAGGACCGAAAAGACAAACGTAACTTTATATTATTTCTCAACAAACAAAGGCGATGTGAGAATAATGTAAATATGTTCAAGAGATTGTTGAGTGCGATACAAACAGAAAACAGCGTTGCGACTATCAAAATATACTGAAGAGAGATTTTGAGCAAGCGCTAGAGTTCAGTAATACAATGACAGCACTAGCAATGGGGTTCAGGACATCAAGATCAAAAATGACCCCGTTAGCACCAGCACTTGTGGTCAGAATCAAACCCTCGTCATAGGCCGCTTCACCTTGAACTTTCCTCGCTATCATGGCGCTCACCGACGTGACCATCTCGCGCGGTTGAGCTATTGCGCGGCGGTGGCAGTGGCGGCGGCGGTGGAAGCAGCAGCAGCAGCAGCAGCGGAGCGCGTCCCGCGGTGGCCGTGACGTCAGCGGGCCGCCGATCGACCCTCGGCCCGCGCGCTGCCCCGCCGCCGCCGCCGCCGCCGCCGCCGCGCGCAGCGCTGAGCTCGCGGACAACAGGTGTGCCGCACCAGCTCTCGCCCCGCCACCCACCGCGCCCCGCTCTCCCCCGCTCGAAGCTGCGCCTGGGGCGCTGAAATCCACGGGCGCACTTGTTAAGCGCGTCACATTAACAGTGGGCACACACACTATTTCCTTCGGGAATAAATCAAGTGAGGAAAATAAAATTATAGTTCACTCTATCATCCTCAGTGAGGCAGATCGACCCGTCCAGGAATCTGATGGCCTGAGTACGAGCACACCGTTGCAAAATGTGAGACATAACTTCGCTCACTGTGACAGTTTCGAGTAAGTTGTCATCAACAGAACAATGCATTATTAAGACATTTTGATTGCTTTTCCTTACACCCCAGTAATTCGGCGGTTTTAGCTAATAAATACGGAAATCTTTATGATAGGATCCTTTAAACTGGCGCTCCTAGCGCAGTCTTTTGCAGCTGCCGTAGTCTGCGCTGGAGATACTGCAGGTTCGAGTTCTGTTTAGGCATGGATGTATTTGTGATTTTCCCTTCATCCCTCATCCTCATTCTATCACTTCATAGATCATGACTCACTGATAACAGACTTGTTTGAACAATAGGTGCAACCAAAGGGCTGACCTTCATAGCGAGTAAAGACACGTTAATACCTCCGGGATAAAATATGATTGAGCCTCGCAGAATAACGTGTAGTGAGGTCCTAGATGGCCGATATTCGCATTAAAAATAGAATTCTTTAAATAAAAAGGACCAACTACTCCTTAAAACACAGTTAAAAAATGTAATGAGCATTTCAGAGATGATAATGAAACAGGGAATTTAAGCCAAGAGAAACAACAAATTTTAATTTACATATTGGATATAAAATCTCAATAAAATGTTAGAGATTACATATAGAACGTAGGGATTATTTTATTACAATACCTTTTATAGATAACTTACAAATGCTTTACGAGTATAGTCTTCATTCTGGCCTGCGGAGATAGGCGCAAGTTCTCACCTGTAATAAAGAAAGAATATGTTAACAAGAAAAACAAGTTGAAAAGACGATATGGCAGAAATAATGTACAGAAAATTTAGAAATACACCGTAAAACCCATTAGAGACATAATATGAAATAATAAAGAATAATATTCATAGTTGTACATTATCCAGCAAACATATTTTTCAATATTGTATACTGTTAAAATAATTAATAAGAATGTAGAATAATAGTATATTTAATGTTTCTCGCATCATTTTGACTACAACGGAGAGTCTGAAACATAGTAATTTATTATACTAGACGATAAAGTATCTTTATTGTCATGTGTAGTATCTACAATAGTACGCATGGGTTCTGAATATTGAAAGTTGAGAGAAATAAGTGACGCTCATTGCATAGAATTTTCACACTCGATATATATAAACGATTGCGCACTGCGAAATCCCTTGCTTGCTTCTGGATCTGCAAACGTACACGCTTTAATAAGAAAGATTTGGAGTATGGTAGACAAAATGAAAATCCTAAATGATGCGTAACAGGCAGTAGGGAAAGAAAGAAATAATTTGATCCCAGCAAAGTCAAAACAATTGTATGGTATAAAATACAAGAACTCATGCAATTAGAAAAAATTACAAATGTGATAGTAACATCGTCAAGGAAATTTTGATCAGTTATCTTTTCTTTCTCTCTTCTTGATATTTCGCTCTACAACACATTTGAAATTGGTTTGTGTTTCTGCCTGACCACTGCCACCTAGGTTGTTCTCTAGGTAGCTTTGGCTGAATATTGCTTGTCAACTGTGACATAACCGTTCAATATAAAAAGTTCAACTTATAATAGTTATCATTAGTCGTAAAAAAGTGCTATATAAAACTCGATTTAATGGGTGTTAATAGACTCGTGTATGAAGTTACTCGTCCCTTCCTCTCTCGTATCTTAATATCTCTTTACTCTCGTGTTTTGTTGTCTACCATTTCATCATCGTTTCATTATATACTATTATCTCTTGTGGGTGATAAACGATTTACCATTAAGAAACGTGTTTAACTTTATGAAATAAAATTTTGGTGTTGTGGGAAATCGATTTTTAATTTTCAATGGAAATACAAGTTTGGGATTCCCTGATGGGATTGGGATGAATGTCCTGATTTACACTGAGTATATTACTCCGCATACGAGAAAATAAAAAGGTATATGTCTCAATTTTGTTTCCTGAATTCCTTTCTATCGTTGATCCCAAGTACTTTAATTATGCTTTCGCAAAAAACTGTATTACAATGACTAATTAATTTTAAATACAGTTACAGATTAGACGAAAACGACAGATGATATTTGTTACGGTAAAGAGTTCAGCGAAGTGCGCAACATCATTCAGCCAACCTAATTAAAACAGTCGCTCTGTGGACAGAGACGAACCCCAACTCCACGATCTCGAGAATCCAACACGGGACAACCAGCGCAGGTACTTCGCCCGGAACCCGCGCCGCAGAATTTAGATATCCGAGACCTTCCGCCGGATGTTCTCAGCCACTGCATGGAGATTCCACGGATTCCCCTCGCCGTGTGCTGCGATTCCGCGAGGGCAGAGAAAGCCACGCGCTCGAGCCCAGCGAGACAGCGACGGAAGAACGGTGTTGGGGGGAGGTGAGGGGACGTGAGAGGACGTGAAGTGATGTGAGGGCGCGAAAGCGCGGAAGGGGCGGGCGGAAGAAGCAGCGTCACCCAACGACGACGACCGGAGGCGCTCGGCCAGCCCGCAATATAAACACCGGGCGAACGGCGGTGGCGAGGGTGGCGAGGGTGGCGGGGGCGGAGGCGGAGGCGGGGCGCGCTGCCGGGGCACCTGCTGGCCGCCCGCGATCGATGGCCAGGCCCCTGAGCCCGGCGGAGGCAGGGGCGGCAGCGGCAGGTGGCCGGGGCGGCGCGGCGGCGACGGTGACCAAGTGGCATCGTTGCGGGAACGGGAAAAGCCAACGGCGGTTGCGGTGAAGATACGGGAGGCGCAGTGGCCACTGAGGTGGCTTTGGCGAAGTTTAAGGAGATGTCAGGGTGTTAGCGACTGAGATGGTCTAATGAATGTGGTGTATAAAGTCATGGTCATGGGCTGGATGTCGTAAGTAAGTTTGCGATGTCTGGGGTTAGTGACAGTTTAAAAATAGATATTAATTCTAATCGCAAAACTTTTCTCAGTCTTCACTTGTAGTGCTTCGTTATGAAAAAGTATGTGTTATTGATGAAATTCTTCTTAAATTTTTGTATGGCTAATACAAGTATTTCGTTTAGTTCAACTCCGTGTAATTAAATTAACACTTTTTATTTACATTTTGAATGCTGTTACAGAAAAATTGGTATTTCATAATATTTTAAGGACTACAGTTACTATATATTAATTTTCATGTATAAATTTTTAATCAATGCCCTTAATATTTCTGTAGTATAATGGGATTTTTTACCCGCATACCTACAATTGCTAACAAGAAGAACGATCTAAAACTTAGTTAATAAGACCTTCCAAGTACGAAGAAAACTAATACTAAAATTACACAAACTTTTAAAAGCAAAGTTTTATAAAGAATTTTAAATATTCAATATTATGTTAGAAATGAAATTACCCGTCGAGACCTGGTTTAGGTAACAGTCTACCAAGAAAATGAGAAAGAAGATAGGAAGCATTGAAAATGACTCCTTCGAAACGAAAATATTTTGTGAAATATAGTAAAATTATCCCAAAATACTTTTATAAAACAACGCTGGGATAGTATTACGTTAAAACTTTGTCAGTTGATTAGTATAAATATTGTGAATTACTGAGGTACGACCCATTTATCTTCTGTATATTATTTCATATTTGGTATTTTTAATTAAGTTTCTGTACAATTCACTTTGAATATTTTTAAATCACCACTCCTCCCCATTTTCATTAAATAATTAAATTAATGTTAATTTATCACTTCTTACACCACATCCCCTTCTGTTTCCCTAATAGTCATCTTCAGTTTAAGAGCCCTTAAGTACACGCCTACTTTGCAAATTCTCATTCTTTCTATTCAGGTATCTCCCACCTCCCACTAATCCTAAAATCCACAGTACCAGTCGCCCTTTGCTTCTCACGATTCCTCCCTTCCTCACTTCGCGGTTGCTTCATACTTCTCGTTGCCCGGCCCTCTTGAAACTTCCCCTCCGCGCTTCGCCGCGCCGCTCGCGCTCCTCCGTTTTCCGCGGGCGCTTTAATCCCCGCGCGCAGCCTCCTCGAGCGGCCTGCTCCGCCGCCGTGAATTGCCGCGTAATTACCTGCGAGAGCCCCGCGCGGCGCGGCGCCCGCGAACGCTAAGCGCCCTCCGCACGCTCTCGCGGCCCAGCGGCCTCAGTGGCACGGCGGGCACTGCGGGCACGGCCGGCACGCGCCGGGCTTCGGGGTAGTTTCGAAATTCTGGGCTGTTGAAGGTAGTATCTTCGTTAGATCGAACACGGTGAAGTATCACCAAAAATACTATAAATGAAAGTAAAACCTCCGTTCTTCAAGACGGTAAGAAAAGAATGGTTCTTATAGGCCTACTTTTAAACAAACAAAGAAGTGTAAATTAGTACAGGCTCTTACGGAAAAACGTTCGCAGCCATAGGTTTATAAGTAAATATAGAAGTTACACGGTGTATGTACATTTTTCTTTTATTCAACGCGTAGTAAATTCTTCTGAGGACTCGTATGATATTAAATGTAACATACATTACCCGCATTCTGTGGAGTAATTTATAAACTGCTGCGAAATTTATCACAACCGGAAGTTCTAGATCCCGGCCTGAAAGCCATGATGTACAAAGAATACTCTTGTCAGCCCTGTTTCTCTTAGGACACGAGAGAAAACCGTCCAAACTTAAATTGTGTATCAAACACAACTACTAGCCTTTCAATGTTTACTTTATCGCTCACGTTCTAGTTCACTTTGAATGCAAAGAATGTGTACTAATATTCACAGCAGAAAGAAAGAAAATTACGAAGCCGCAGTAAACCTAACCTGTATTAGGTGTAGCTATATAAATTAAAAATCATGCGAGAGTCTAAATTTATTAATAAACATTGTTTTTCTAGAACAAATATTCAATACTTCCCTTTTAACTATTTACAAATAATTATTTAAATACTCCGTTTTACTTTTCAAGCAGCTATTGTTAATATATAGATGTAATAAATGGTTGAGTGTTTTAGTAGCAACTGGCACAACTGGTATTTTTAGACATTACAGAGTTACGCAGAAACTTGTTCACATTAACTTTTAGATTTTAAGATAATGGTCCTCATACCAGAGATGATTAATTTGATGGACATGTAAAAACGACGATGATATTATAAGAATAATGGTAAACTCTAGATTGAGTGCCAAGGGAAATGGAGTATATCGATAAAACATTCACGTACACGACAAATCTCTCCTGCATCATTCAGGTTGGAAAATTCGATCTTGACCCAATAGTTCTGAATAAATATTCAGAAATAATCAACAATTGAATGAGAATTAGGATAAATGGATAATTTCAATAAAACATGCGCGTTTATGACAAATTATTCATTAACCGTCCAGGTTTGAAATCCCAGTCTGATCCCGACAATTCTGAAGAACTATTCAGAAATGATCTATGCAATGTTAACGTGTGCAACAATTTAACATTCACATTACTATCACATTTTTACCGTGCTTCCAACTATGAATGGTCTTTATTCATTGAAGAAATTGTTGGAAATCACATTACAAGCATTATCTTCGAATGTATGGCGGCATACCATTCCTGTATAAAGCAATAAAGATCCAATATTCCTCCCGAGTTTTGTTCTTTTTTACAAAATATCATTTCCTGTTGGAAATGAAATCGTAGGCAGCGAAGCGTGTTGACTAAATGAAATCTGTGACATTGTTACTTTGTATAGTAGAGCTATTGAAATTATATGAATAGGTTCTCAAGGGTACATGGATATAAGAGCTTTTTTATATTGATGTTACTGAAGTATTCTCACCGCTCTATGGAATATATGTGAATATGGAATCATTTTCTGTTTGCTGCAATAATAACGTAGAGAAAGGTTCTATGATTCTACAAGAACTTCAAGTTTATTTCAAACTCGCTTGCACTAAATTTATTAGCAGGGGAGACCGGAGGCGTTTGGTTCAATCTTATCAAAAGTAGAGGGTACATTAATATTTGTATTGTACAATCCAAAAAATAAGTGAATTAAGAAATAAGGTCTTAGATTTTGTCATATAAATTCCATATGCTCTATTTTTGAGTCACGTGTCTTTCACAACCTAATGATCTTCCCAAATAAGTCGCAATATAATCAGCGTAATGATGGTAGAACCGTCATCTCAAATGTTTTTCAGAGAGTGAAGAGTAGTACAACAGGAAATTAGCATGACTCTTAATACATTACTTCCCTAAAAACGGCAATTTTTTAAATTTTTCCATGTTTTTTTATTTATTTCCAAACCACGATTTTGTTCCAGCAGTGACCTCTTAAAAGTTTCAAACTTTCAGTAGTGGGCAGATACTCGTATCAGTAATGGTCAATTGATATTCTATCCCCTGAAGCTGACTGATTTTAATAATGGCCTTTTCATTTTACAATATTGCGATGTCAATATTGGTAAGTATGTTTTAGATTATTATAATATATAAAAAAGAAAAATAAATAATTTTAAATTTAATTTTCATCATTGGAAGAGCACAATCTATACGTTCAGCAAATCTGAAGCTAATGGAAAGCTTCAAATATTATTTTTCAAATTTTGTTCGATTAGTGTTATTCACAGTGACCTTTAATATTACCTATAGTATCTTCAAATTCTCTTCCGCGTGAAACTTGAATCAATAAAATGATATTATCTATTCAATGTTCTAACAAAGATATAAAGTATTTTTATTAAAAATAAGTAAAAAACTATATCAAATTAATGACTTATTTTTAAATACTTAATTTTGAAATCTCCAAAGTTTCTTTAGTTGCTAATGTGACATTATTCTGAAGTATCAATCGATGGCAATCGATTACACATTTACTTGTGTAAATAAGTGTGAAAAATAATTCATATTGGCATTGATTTATTACTACACTCTCTCAAGGAAGAAATGTGCCAACCTACCCCATGAAAACCTATCCCAAAGCGTGTGCCAACCAATCCCATATGCGGTTGGAACTTCGACATACAAACATTTACAAATTGAAAATACTATAAGGAAGCCTAATAAATGCAGTCTCCATTGATCAAATCAAAATTGTAAATCCTAAATCGGAGTTGCGTAAAAAATAAACTGGTGCCAATGCACCCCGCTCTCCCCTCATGTTTAAAAATTGTCACGTGTATTTTTAGAAACACGTTTTAAAAAAATCCTTTAAATGTCACATCATGAGTTGTTGTGACTACATTACTATATCTATCTATATTTACTTTTATTACTGCATCTGAAATGACAAGACTGCATCTGAAATGGCAAGATATCGTATGTGAATTTTTGCCATTTAAAGCAAGCTAAGCGCAATCCCTGTGACCTCCCTCCCAATATCGTTGATCCAGTGCAACTTCGGAGTTACCTAATTAGATCATTTTCAGATGCGCTATACCAACTTGGGCGTGTGTTCGTGGAATTGACTCTGGCAATTATGCCGTCCGTGAATGGCCCCTGAAGAGCTGCCACTCTGCAGGCTCTCGACGTCCCACACACTGCGCCACGGGCTCACGCACCTCCATTACGGCGTTAAGCGCCACCGGGGGAAGAGCTGTCCCTCGCACGCTGCGCTGATTCCACCAGAGTCCCCTCACATCCACTTGGCGCCCCACCAACCACTTTCGATACAGGTATTGCACGTCAAAATACACTATCGACAAACATTGAGGGTTATTAAAATGTTCTACATTGAAACAGTATAATCGTGAGTATATTTGCTACTGAATCTTAGCTAT